CTTAGAGTATGATGATGATGGGAGGATAGTCTACTACTAAATGATTTGGAAAAGAATAAAATATGGCATTGTTTACAGTATACGAAAAGGAGAAAAACTGACAAGCAATAAGTCATCAGAAATGCACCCCAGACGAAGACTCGCCAGTGAAGCCTTGTTACTTGTTGATAATAATAGACCTACAGCAAAGAAACAACTTAAGAGCAATGGGCGAGCTACTGTCTTTCCAATCAAAGTTATTCTGTCCCCGTGGTTTTATGCACCCCGCATAATTTAGCAAAATTTGATCGTTTTTTTGCATAATTTCTGATTATTTTCCTTTACCATTCTTTGTTAAAATCAACAGAATCGCATAATTTCACATTCTGGGGCTCAGTTTGCATAATTTCAGAATTTTTCTTGCATAAAACGACGGGGGCAGGTTGCTTAACAACTGTAGACGTTGAATTAAAGCGATTTAATAACTTTAGAAGTCGGATGGAAGTCATTGAACAACTTTAGAGGTCGTAAATTAAAGTGGTTTAACAACAGAATGATGAGTTTAGACTGTGATTTATTGTTCACCGGGTTTCCTCTTGGAACACGTTAATGTCTTCAACATGGGCAACAGTAAAGACAAATGATACAACGAATGTTAAAAAAAAAAAACAACTACAATAACAACAACGACAAAACCGTCTAAGAAAGACAGCTTGGCGCGTATAACATGCAACTCTTGTATATGAAAAATAACAAGCTAGATCACATGCATACGATGGTATAGAATAAAGTCGATTTGACAGCTTAAATTAAATTCCATCTTTTTATGTCATTATTATGTTGCATAGTGGGAATTTGAAGCCAAGAACTATGGTTTTGGACACCACCAGATTAATTTTTGTCTGTAGTCTTACAATGTTTACGATGTAAAATCCTGGAACAAACACCGGAGCCAAAATGAAAGAATACAGGTCTCAGAAAAGCTGTAAAACTTTAATATTTTAACGTAATATTTAAAAAAAAGATGTATTGTGTTCTCTTATTTATGATAGCTAATTCTCTCCCTCTGGGTCACATGCATACGAACACTAAAAAGTATTTCAGTGTATTAACAAGTACAGCGTCCAGACAGAGAGGAAAACGCCAAAGAGGGAGGCCGACAGAACGGAAGCTCCACCAGTGCCCAACTCGTCGTGGGTGATGGCAAAAGTCCTTGTTGGGGCGCCAGAGGCTCCGTCGAACTTGTAGGGGACGGCGAACAGTCGGAACCCGCGGGGTGGGAGTTTTCCTGTGTCCTGGCGGGGTG